ACACGTCCTATCTCCGTTTTTGAGCCGTCTTCCCCTATAAATATAACATATTTTAAGTGTCCTATATATATATATATATATATATATATATATATATATATATATATATAGTGTGTGTAGATATAGGGATCAACAATATATAATAGCTGTAAGTTTCACGCTTTTTAGACCAAGTTCAAGTAACAGTTACCATGCAGATTCCTATGTTCACACTGTCTACATCGATAAACATTCTAAGAGAGTCGACTGAAAAGTTCATAGCCCGACCAATATACTCTCATGAAATGTGACGAAACTTAGGTTTATTTTTCAACAAGGTCTCCCCTGCGGCCTACACAATTCTTCCGTTGATGTTGCAGAGCTTGCATCCCATTAGTGAAGAAGTGTTCATCCTGGTGGCGAAAAAGTCAACAGCAGATATAACACTATAATCACTGCAATACAGGTTCCTAGCCTAGTGTTTTTCATGTTGGAGAACCGATGATAATCAGATGGCATCAAATCAGGCGAATAAGGACGGTGATCAGCCAGTTTAAAACCGCAGTAACACACAGCAGCCATTGAGACGAATGTACCGATGAAAAAGTCCCCTTTCGTCAGTTTTCCCACGTGTCTGGTCTTGGTAGACTCAGCAAGTTGTTATAGCACTCTCCATTGATGGTGTAGCCCTATTGAAGATCAATAAACACAATATCATTTACATTTCCAAAAACTAAGGTCCCCACCTTCTCTGCAGATAAAACAAACTTGGCCTTCTTTGGAGCAGAGGGAGTTGTGTTTCCACAGCATAGATTGTGTTCTTTCTCCCTGGTTCAAAGTGATGAACCCAACACTAATTTGCGGTTAAAAAAGGTTCAAGGGAACCAGCTGGATCTGCCTCGAACCATATTAGATTTTTCTGTGGCTTTAATGTTCATGAAACAGTGCCCTCTTCGTCAATTTTTCCTGAGTGTTTGGTCTTGATAGAATTTCAGAAGTGTGGACGTTCTGAAAAATGGTCAATGAACACCAGGCCTTTTGCATCTCTAGCAACGGAGGTCATTAACATCACTAAAATAGATGAAACGACTTTGGCCTTCTTTGGAGCTGGTGAGGAGGGGTGTTTCAATTGTATAGATTATCTCTATGTCTATGGGTCAAAGTGATGAACCCAACACTCAACCTGAGTTAGGCAACGTTCAAGCAAACCAGCTGGATTTGCCTCAATGTCAGATTTTCCTGTCATTTTCCTGAACGGCTTCTGCAATTTTTTTTTATCACGTGTCAGAAAATGTTAATGGCATTGGCTAATTCATTTATTGTCAGTCCCAATGTTCTAACTATTTCAGCATGAATGTCCTTGGGGGTGGGGTGGTGGTGGAAATCGTTTGTTTGCAGTTATCTGATAACACCCCAATACCAAATTTTGTTCATTTTCATAAGAATTCGCTATATAGTTACTTTTGAAGTTCTCTTTGAATAGTCAAGTATTATAAAACAAAACAAAACAAAAACAATGCAGTTATTAATAAGAAGAGTTGAAATGAATGCATGCAAGATTTCATTGTATCAGCAGCATTACTTCATCATCAGCCTATAAAATTTCCACCCTCGTATCTCTGATTATAGTAATTTTTACACACACACACACAAACACAAACAATATATATATATATATATATATATATATATATATATATGCTCATCAGTGTAGCTAGACGTCCGGTTGCCTCTAGCTAGGATCTGAACCCAGAGAAGAAGGTCAATTTAAGCGTATTTATTTTTAGATAAACACTCAGTGACTTAGAGAACTCGAATCGCTTTTTTTCCGAAGAGTCTTGCATTATGAGCAGTAATAGTCTCTGTTTACAAACTCACATTTCTTCACCAGAGAGCCCGACCGAAATAATATTTTCAGGATCATATATTGTCATTCACAGACAGACTGTTTCACAGCATATATATATATATATACATTGAGCACTCCTTGGATTTATATCCTCCTTGGAATTATACCTACTAATCATCAAGTGATATATATATATATATTATACAGCAGAAACATAAAATTACCTCATGTGGGTATAGTCTATTTCAAACCGGCAAAACATTATGCCAATCTTTTTCAACCATAAACTGACTGTCTCCTGAAGGTTTCGTATTTGTGATTTGGTGTTTGAGAAGGGTTAATTAAAAAAAAAAAAAAGAAGCTATCCATCGTAGTTCCTTCACAAAGTTAACGATTTTTCCGTGAGGGATAGGTTGAAAAAGGTCAGTGAAAGCTATGGAATGTTTTTCAAAAGGTATTCGGGACAGAACTTATCCATGATGGCGGGAAACAGCCAGTCTAGGACTGAAGAAGACTGCCATAAGCTTGTGCCGGTTTGAAATAGAGGCAATTTTGGATTTAATATTACTAGGATCCACCTGGATTATATACCAATGGATCTATGATCTGTACTATATATATATATATATATATATATATATATATATATATATATATATATATAAAAAAAAGGCTCAAACACTAATATTCCATGGTTATAATTTATTACATTGGAATCGTAATCACGATCCAATTCATAAGACCTACAAATTATATATATATATATATATATATATATATATATATATATATAACCAAATGTCATAGAACGGAGAGTAAGATTTCAGCGTTCAACGCATTAATTTAAAATAGGCTTAATACAAAAGTAGAGCCATAAATATTTATTTATTTAGGCTTTCGGAATAAAATATTTTAGTAGCATCTTGATTTCCCAACTGATGATACGTTAAAATTTTTTAACGTTGAAACAAGATGTAACGTTTTGTAATGGATATGTGCATATTCTAATGTAACACTGCATAATATATATATATATATATATATATATATATATATATATATATATATATATATATTCCGACCACATTCGTCTGCTAGTGCATTTAGATAATCCCTGTTTGTTTTTGTTTAACACGCACAGATCCCACATTTAATTTATAATTTATTACAACTTCTTAGAGATGGCGCATAATTTGTCATCTGCATCATGAACCAGTAAACCATTCCGCTCAACCACTATATCAAGAGGGTTTTTCTGCTTTGGTTTATTTCTTTAACGACATATAAATACTTTATGGTCATTTACTGCCGACATCTTATTTTCTTGTGAGCTGTGGTATTTTTTTCAATAATGTATTGCTGGTATTTTTTTTTATGAATATGTATTATTGTTAAAAAAGTAGAGCGGTATATATATATATATATATATATATATATATATATATATATATATATATATGTTTATGTATGTATGTATGTATGTAGCTATCTATCTATCTACCTATATATATATATATATATATATATATATATATATATATATATGTTCATGAATGTATGTATGTATGTATTCATTCTATCTATCTATCTATCTATCTATCTATCTATCTATATATATATATATATATATATATATATATATATATATATATATTATACAGTGTTACATTAGAACATGCACATGGCAACTACAAAACTGTAAATCTTGCTTTAAGGTTAGAGTCGCATCGTGATTCCCCACCTGATGAAATGTTAAATAAAATTTTTGAACCTTGAAACAAGATGTGCAGTTTTGTAGTGGTTACAATGCATGTTCTAGTGTCTTTATTGCATATATATATATATATATATATATATGTGTGTGTGTGTGTGTGTGTGTGTGTGTGTGTGTGTGTTGAGGCAGCATATTTTAATTCAACCAGTTTTGGTTAAATAATTTAGACGTATTATGTTTATTTATTTAGTTTTAATCCTTTCAAGTCCATGAATTAATTTTCTGCTAGCTGTAGAAAATTAAGAAAAATTCCAAAATTTTCTTTCAAAAATTCAAATTATTTTTCCCCGTTCGTTTACAGTTTCAAATTCGAAATTTTTTCGCCAATTATGCAAGGGAGGTAACTGTTGTGATTTGTTTTGCTTAAAAAGAAAAAAGATGTTTTTTAATTATATTTTAATTTAGTATTTTTACATAAAACCTTGCTACTACTAACATTGAAAAACTTTGTTGCTATACTCATAATTGATTTTATTTATTTTTCCCACAATTCACTTATATGAAGGACTTTTTTATTGTTTTGTTTATTTTATAATATTTTTTTATATCTTCCGTGACTGAACGTGTTTCGGTCCTAATTTCCTAAGAGCAGACGATAAACTGAAATAGCCTGATCGTATGGGATTCATGCATAATGACACTTTTAATGAATGTTCTTCGACTCAATAAATTTTACCACTATTTATGAAGCCCTAACATTAATATGTGGAGGCACGGTGCAGGAATGGATAGTGGCTCGGATTGAGGAATCATAGAACCGAGTTCGAATTCCAGTCGGATCCATTACATTCACTTACGTGCTAATAACCCTGGGATGAATCCTCTTTGTTTCCCCCCGACTATTGGTAAATAGGAAAGACTGTGTTCTCTAACCTTGGGCAAAGGTAAAACACTTAATTAAAAACCGGCCCGGAGAGAATTGGGCGCCGTCAGGCTATCTTGAAACACCACGTCTACTGTAGCTGCAGACAATATGGTGCTTCTACGACCCTACGGGTCACGGGATAAAACAATATATACGACGAGGCCGTTTCATTTCATCGTCTGTTATTACGAAATTAACCCTGGAGCAGTCTGGTTGTTAGATGACCAGATGTAAAGGGTGATGCGCAGAAATTGTCTGGCAGCCATGACTGGATTCTCCTGTTTGTGTGGCATGGTGCAGAGTCCTGTTGACAGACGAAGAGACTTCTACCAACAACTCTCTTGATCCAGGGCAGCACTACTCAGTTAAAATGTAAAAAAAGAAGCCGGCTGAACGTACGATCATTTTTCTGGTCGTCGATAAGACAAAGTTTTTTTTGTCGTTTTGTATTTGCGAAATAAGCTAGAAACCTAAGAAAAATTGTATCTACAACTCAGGGTTTTTTTTTTGTTGTTGTCTTTGTCGTTCGTTACAAAAGAATGGGATTATTTGACACTTCCTTATTCGAACGTGTTTGATAAGGTTGGTCGAAAGAACAGATAAAAGCCATAGGAATGAAAAGAAAGATCCGCGTGGAACTACGTAATAAAGAAAGCCAATTACTGAAAACATCAATTTTGTGTTTCGAGACTCTAATAGAAATTGTTTTGGAAACAAAAAAAAAAGGTTCTATTTATACACATCGATCCATCATAGTTTCGGCTTTAATGTCTTGTCGTTAAAGACAAAAAAAGACATTTATTAGTTACTAGTGATGTCGTCGGAAAAAAAACCCCAGTAAACTTCGATGGGTTATTCAACACACACACACACACACACACACACACACACACCTCTCTCTCTATATATAATCGTCTTTCCCGTCGAATACGATGTATGAGGATCAAGCAGAACAGTTCCTGGGAAACTGAAAGCCCAACACCAGCACATGAGATTTGATTATAGTGGTGAAGGTTTTGTGCAGAACCATTCACACTTTTTGAAGGGCCGAATACAGAGATTTGGTCACCACGTGCCACAGGGTCCCTAAACGCAGGTTTTGAATTCAGAGTTGTCCTTCTCCTAGACAAGTTGGCATCCAAGGCTATAGAACCCGGTCTGTCCTGCTATTTACCCATAGCTGGGGAGAGAAGAAGAGGAATTATACATTTCCCAAGGGTATTATTAGCACGTAAGTGAATCTAATAGATTCGATTTGAATCCGAACTCGGCTATCCATTACTCATTTTTCACTCAGTGGGTTGCCATTTCTTTCTTTGACAGACCAGTTGCCATCCACGGCTATAGAACGCGGCCTGTCCATAGCTGGGGGGAGAGAAGATGAGGAATCATACATTTTCTAATGGTATTAGCACGTGAGTGAATGTAATAGAGTCGACTAGAATTCGAACTCGGTCCTCCGATTCTGCAATCCAAGCCGCTATCCATTACACCACTGAATACATGGTTGGTATAGACGGAATAAACTTCCAGTAAGCAAAAACAGTATTTAAAAAAAAAAAAAAATACTCAATACAGAATAAAGCAAATAATATTTATTTAAAAATTATAACATCAATATGTTATAATGTTGTTGGCTGTAGCTGAGTGAAAATGTATCAGAAGGTAATTTATGTAAGGCAAAGATTATGCGTGCTTATTATGCATTATCCCACAGCACGTAGATCAAATAAAGAATATAAGGACAATTTTCATTTCAAGAAATTACTAAAAACACAGTGGTTAGAGATCAACAATAAAGAGATTTTTATATATACAAAAGATATACATGCAAGGATAACAGAATGTTTGTTGATTGTGGCAATTGAGACAAGGTTATGAAGAATGTTCATGCATAAATTTGGTCAATAAAAGTTAATGGTTTTGATTTGTTAGTGAAATTAAAATAATTTGGTTTCTGCAAGAAAAAATCTCAAATGTGTTCGTTCAAATAATAGTGTCTATGCGTGTGTTACTTGTTAGTTAGAATTTAAGTTGTGAAGAGTTGTTTACCTTTAACTGTTTGGCTAAATTGATGAATTGTACAATTACTGTTTGTGTAGTGAAAACGTCCACTTTTTAAGTCAATTGTAATTTGATTACCACGCGGACAATGGTCGATTGAGTGCTGTATTGAGTTTGTTGAGAATTTTGAAGTTATATTGAGTCAGTGAACAGACACGCGTGGAGTTTGGTAGCACCTCACGAAACTTGATGACTGACTGACTTGAATTGAGTCATGCGACTGTTTATATAGACTTTGGTGTTTAAAAATCGGCTCCAGGAAGCTTCAGCGAGAAAAAGCATCTGTTTCGACTTTACTTTGCTACAGTTTAGTGTTTCTTAACCAATAGAAAATTGAATTTACTGAAACGAAGTGGTGATTGGTTAAGGCTTTTTTTTAGGGAAGAATACATCTTTCCGAAAGGGGTGGAAGGCTAATGTGGAAGATTCCACAATAACATCTCTACAAAAATAGCCATCTTGTTTCAACACTTCTGGTGTCTTGTCAAGTGATGGTGTTGATTTTAAAATAAAAAGATTTTAAAGAGTTCTAAAACCAGCCACTACTCCCACTGGAAGAAATATTTTTACGTAAGATGTAATGACCAATCAAATTACAAGTATATGATAATTCAAATAATGCGACAACGGACCCAAGATACAATTTATTAATGCTTTAAAATTAATATTAGATTTTATAGGAAATCTCTAATTCATTATGTAATTAAAAAATAAAAGTTACAAATATTAAACTAATTATAACCATATATCATGTTTAGAGACTAACAAAATTATTCAAAGAAAAAACGAGGAAAATATGCCTAAATTTTCATGTATTCTTCTTAGAAATAGGTTAAATTTCGCGTCTGAATCTAAGCAGAAGTAAGAGGTGCAATATATGGCTACAGACTTGGTTACATTGACAGGGTTGTGAGGAGAGATTTAGTGGACGAGAAGAAGAAAAATTTATTTGAGAGAAGACATCTCGTCGTAATAGACAAACACATAAATATGTTTGATTATATGAGTACGCAAATATACAAGGACAAACAGATTCATCAAAATTCAATCATCTACATGACTACAGAGACAACGGAAACTACCCGTCAAAAATGCGCAATCATGGAAAATCAATATGCAAATACATAAGCATACGCGCATACACACACACACACACACACACACACATACACACACACATATATATATGTATATATATAAATATATGAAAATACTTAAAGTTCAAAAACGTTTTTAAGATAATTCTGTCCTTAAATTCACATTATGAACTCAATACTAATAATAAAAACCCCTTCCTTAACATATTGATAAACACAAATAATAACAAATTTACTATTTCGCCATACAAAAACCTACCAGCATAATTTCATGTACACTTAACGATAAAAGCGAATGCCCATATTACTACAAAATAGCAATTATAAAAAATCTAATACATCGTACAAAACCTAATTCATCTACAAAACAGATTTTTTACAGTGAACTACAGAATATAAAACAAACACTTATTAATAATAGCTTTCCAAACTATATAGTTGATGAACAAATAAAATACTTTCTTAGAAGTCTTAATACTGCGCAAATAGAACATAATAATGCTTCAAATAATTCCATACATATTAATCTCTTTTATCGTAGTCAAATGCATACTAATTATAAACAAGAAAAAATAGGTTAATCATACACTACACTAAATCTAGTATATCTAACTTAACTATTCACAATGATTCTTCCCCAATCCCTGTTAGCGATTTGCAGAAAACCAACATAGTTTACAAATTCAAGTGCCCTTTGGGAGATTGTATCTCCAATGGATAAAATAATATTTATGTTTGTCACACAACAAACTCGCTTTCACGACGCTTGTCTCTACATTTGAATGAGAACTCTTGCATTTTTAGGTATTTAAAACAACATGCCTGCCACGTATTCAATTCCGGAAAATCCTTGTTGACAACACAAGTATACTTAAACATGAAAACAATAAAGAGAAATTAAAAATTCTTGAAGCTTTATTCAGAAAACAGTTGAAACCTAACCTGAACAAAATAAACTACGAAATCTCCACAAATATACTTAAATGCCTATAATTTATAACAGAAGTCATTAGTTTATACCAACGTCTTCCCATACTTAATACTTATCGTTTTTCACTCTCGCGTGATCATGTGTGACGTCACGAGCTGCGACGCGATTTTTGCTTCCGCGTCTCGTATATACGAGTTTGTCGTTACATTGAAATTTTTCATGCAGCAAGGGCGGACTATCATTGCTGCTTCGTCCGTTGTTGTTTGATTTATTGAAATTGTCATCTTTGATAATGGCTTGTGTAAGCTTAGATTGGATTTAAACATGTATCAATATGGTGTTTTCCTTTCGTCTTTCAACGATAATGGGATTAAGCTTATCAGACAATATGAAAAGAATTTAAAAAAAAATAAATAGACAAAACTTGTCTATATTATTTAATGAAACATGCATTTAATATATATATATATATATATATATATATATATATATATATATATATATAGAGAGAGAGAGAGAGAGAGAAGAGAGAGAGATACCTACATACAGATACATATATACATATATAAATACATATATTAACATAAAAAAAACATACGCGGTGATAGAAGTACCAATGAACGAAGTATATATTAGGCACCAATCCATGTAAAAGCATATTCCTGGTTCCCGGACTTCATGAATTTAAGTGTTCAACTAGGCTGGCATCTCGCTCTCACACTTTCACTGTCGAAACATTTAAATGTTGCCGTCTCTTCTACGCCAATAGCTACATGTCTCGCACTTCTCGCCTGTGGAACTCTTTCCACATTTCTTGTTTTCCTGATAGCTATAATCTCCAACTATTCAAATGTAATGTCAATCGACGTCTCCAGATGCCCTGATCTATCCGTTAACCTTCTCTTCATCCTTTCCTGTATCCTCCTATTTACTCTCCTTCAAACTCTCTGCTCGTGATAGTGACTTCCCGCCTTGTTTGGGTTGAATGTTTATATATATATATATATATATATATATATATATATATATATATATATATATATATAAGGAGGCACAGTGGGTAATGGATAGCAGATTAGATTGAGGAATCAATTCCAGTCGAATCTACCACATTCACTTACGTGCTAATACACTTGGGAAATGTATGAATCCTCTTCTCCCTGCAGCTATCGGTTAATAGCAGGATAGACTGGGTTCTATAGCCTTGGATGGCAACTGGTCTAGGAGAAGGACAACTCTAAATTCAAAACCTGCGGATGGTCCTTTGGGGACCCTGTGGCACGTAGTGTACCAAGTCTCTGTATTCGGCCCTTCAAAAAGTGTGTTTGGTTCTGCACAAAACCTTCACCACTATAATCAAATCTCATGTGCTGGTGTCGGGCTGTCAGTTTCTTAGAAACTGATCTTTTGACCTTATATTATATATATATATATATATATATATATATATATATATATATATATATATATATATAAAGCAATAAAAACTTAAATAATATACATATAATTGTTATGCTGTGGCGAACGAAATTTTTTTTTTCACCGAATGAATACGAATCTTCGTCGCCACTTGTTATGGT